ACGGTATTTAATGGATTCAATTCACTTGGATGCTTAATACGAGTTTCAAAGAAAATTATTGTCAATAGGCGAATAAAAATAAATGATTCATTCATTCCAAATGAATCCGTTACGAGTTTCAAAGAATTTCGCAATTGACACATCTTTGAATGTTTATTAGATTGGATCGCTCACTTTCAATTTCTTATTAAAATCTTTTCTTTTCCCTGTTGTTAATGGTTCATTGAATTAAATATTTGAAAAGTTAAGTTACAACAGTTTTATCTAATTGATATATTCATTCGATTTTTTAACGCGATATTGGATGTCGATATAAATATTAAAGTGGATTGAAATTTATAAAAATATTTCTATAAATTTATTTATTATTTGTTTTATTACTTATCAATAGATACAGTTTGATTTCAATATTTTTTAGATTATTAGTCATTGGATGAGTCAAGATAATTCAATTTGGTTGAATTGATTTGAATAAGAGGGTTAAGTTCGAATATTAGCATTGGATGGTAGAAATTTATTTTCTTGCCTACTACTAGAGCAGAACTGACTTGAGAAAGCAAAATAAGCTACAGTAGCTTACATTAAAACCCAGTCTAATAAAAATTATTGTCCATTGATCAGTTTAAATAATAGATTTGAAGAATTGATGAATTTTACTAAACTAAAGTTGAATATTACGTTTTGAAACCAAACGTAGACAATTCATCTAATGTGAATGACAATTAAGATAAACCCATATATTAAATTCAAACTAATTTTATTCAATTGAAATGAACAAACTAGATACGGAAAGAATAAACTCATTTTATTGCCTGGCAGATGTGGGATCAGGGAGATTTCGAGTGGGAAATGATTGTCGACAGGTGATGATAAAAAATATCGAGATGTATAAACGCCAGTACCTCCAACCGCACTTTACTTCAAGACTTTCCTTGGAAAATATTTCAGGCGCGTTGTCTAGTCTCCATAAAAAATTCTCCACCCAAGAGGGGAATAGCCATTTTATTTCAAAAGCTATTTTGTCATGCATGTAGAGACGTTTTATCTCTGAATTTACAGCACCATTTTAAACGTCACAATGCATTTGTGCGCAGAGCAAAGAACAAAGTGAAGCAATCATTTCTAATTGATAAACATTTCAGTCTGAATGAATAATTCGTGTTCTTCATTTCGACTGAGGGATTACTTTCATCCATTTTATTATCAACCTCGTGTGTTCACCAAAATATTCAGAGTATTCAAAATATGATGATGGAGTACCCTAAAAACAGTCAATTCCCAATGAAACAATTTTTATCCATCAGGAAATCCTTTCCGAGATGAAAAAATATTGGGCTCCATCGCTGTGGAAGAGAATTATTGCCCAAAGGGTCGCACTTACATTTTCGCCGATAAATCGATAACTCGAGTATCATTCCAATTTAAATCCATTTACCTGCTGAATTTTAATTAACACAGAAGGGCACATGGAGTTTGAAAAAAATCACTCCATGGATATTCAATTAAAAAGAATATCTGAGATAAATAAACTGGATCCTCCCTCCCTCCCCCC